CTTTTCAGTTTCCCTTCAGGATTCCAAGTTAGGGCTTGCCTTGTGATGCAGTTTGGTGATTTCCGTAATACATATCCTTTCCATCGTCTTTTCATGATTTCCTCCTCAGCTGGAAGCTGGTTTGTTCTCTCCCACAGAAGGCTGTTGCTAATAGTATCCGGTCAATGGATATTGAGTATCTTGCGTAGACATCTATTTATAAATACTTGTACCTTCTTGATGATGGCTGTTATAGTTCTCCAAGTTTCAGCTCCATACAGTAGAACTGCCTTGACGTTCGTATTGAAGATTCTCACTTTGACATTGGTTGAAAGTTGTTTTGAGTTCCATATGTTCTTCAATTGTAGGAATGCTGTCCTTGCTTTGCCAATCCTTGCCTTTACGTCCGCATCTGATCCTCCTTGTTCATCGACGATGCTTCCCAGGTATGTGAAGGATTCTACATCTTCCAGAGTTTTACCATCAAGAGTGATTGGATTGCTGTTCTCCGTGTTGTATTCGAGGACCTTGATTCTCCCCTTGTGTATGTTGAGGCTCACTGATGCCGATACTGCTGCTACACTTGCTGTCTTTATCTGCATTTGTCCGTGTGTATAGGATAGGAGGGCTAAGTCATGTACAAAGTTCAAATAGTCTAGTTGGTTCTGAGCTGTCCATTGTATTCCGTGTTTTCCCTCAGATGCAGTGGTCTCCATAATCCAGTTGACCACCAGAAGAAAGAGGAAGGGAGAGAGTAAACAGCCTTATCTGACTCCGGTCCTTACTTGGAATGCATCTGTCAGCTGTCCTCCATGAACAACTTTGCATCATGGTCCGTCGTATGAGTTCCGGATGACGTTGACAGTCTTCTCAGGAACTCCATATTGTCGTAGGAGTTTCCATAATGTTCTCTTATCTGCACTGTCAAACGACTTTTCATAATCAATGAAGTTGATGTATAGTGATGAGTTCCACTCAACTGATTGTTCGACGATGATCCGTAGTGTTGCAATTTGGTCTGTGTACGACCGATCCCTACCAGATCCAGCCTGTTGATCTCGAAGTTGGGCGTCTACTGAGTCTTTCATCCGGTTCAGCAGCACTATGTTAAAGACTTTCCCTGGTACTGACAGTAGTGTAATGCCTCTGTAGTTTTCACATTTGCTCAGATCTCCTTTCTTTGGAATTTTGATGAGGTGTCTTTCTTTCCAGTCCATCGGCACTTGTTCCTCCTCCCAAATCTTTTTGAACAGAAGGTGAAGTATGTTTGTAGTCACCTCGATGTCTGACTTCAGTGCTTCAGCTGGTATATTGTCAATGATATGAATGTTAAGCACTTACTTCTGGATCTAAATGTCCTAAGTTCAATTATTAGAAAAATTATGACTACCCACTACTAAGAAGTCATGTAATAGAACAAAACATATCGAAAGTTCCCTAATATTAATTCATGACGTATACCAGCTGTGAATTAAACTATGTTAAATATAAATATATAGATTAAAGTTTCAATACACACAGAAATTCTTAAATCCCCCCCTCCTCCAAGAAAGATGTATACACCTCTAATCATTGTATAAAAACTTACATTTTGATTGGTTTACAATTAAGCATATTTCATTGAATACACTTTGTTCACATGTCCATCTTATTTAAAACAAGAGGAATTTTATTGAAAAAAAACAACAATCATTACATTGTGTTCTATTATTATTATTATTATTATTATTACATTTACTATCTAATTTTCTTTATATTTTCTCTTTCCAATCTTTATACTTGTCTCCCTATTTCATTCTTGTCTTATTTATTTTTTTCGTCTCTTTATTTTCTTTTTCTATTCTTTTTTCTTTTTCTTTATTGAAACTCTTTTCATCCAATCATTTTTCACAGAATTTTTTTTCAATATTTTATTTTTTGACCAATAAGATTATTTCAAATCTGATTAACTAGCGATCAAATTGAAAAGAATAATATTCATATTCATATTCTTATTACTAGTATTATTATTAACAGTCTAATGTGTGCATGTATGGGTATATGTGTGTGTGTGTGTAAGAGAGAGAGGTGGGGAGTGATGAAGGAGATGAGAGGGAGAGTTAATATATTACAAAGTATAACAATCAAATTTCTTAATTTCTTTTTTTTTCTTTTTAAAACGGTTTCTATTTTATTAAAAGTCAATCATTCACTGGAAATAAGATAAATGATCTGAATTCTCAAATATTATTTCTGTGATCTATAAACATAAGATTCAATATCTATAGCGTAATACAAATAAAAGGTATGTTAAACATTATTCGACTATAATTTATTTAATCATAATAATATTATTATGCAATTATGAATGAATACTGATAGTGTAGATAACTTTAGTGAAAATTGTTGATAATTTTTCATAGATAACTAGATTAATTAATCACCAGCTAGCAAATAATACGTCCATCTGACGAGTCTCAAACAGGACGAAACATGCGTCAAATTCGATTCCACTACTAGACACTATCCATCTTTAATTCTAATGCTTGTAAATTAAGGTAATATCAAGGCAATACATACAGTATGCATATATGCCAATAAGAGACTGATCAGTTGCAGTTGTAAACATCAACGGAAAGTTTCAAGTGAACTTATAAAATGAGTTGAATGAATCCGATATTTCATTTATATACTATAGTAGATATTACTTCAAGTGATTTGATTTTGATTTAATTTCAAGTGTTTGCTAATGATTTACAAGAAATCTTCAATCTAAGTTTTGTATTATCTATTACTTGTTACTGTGACAGTTTCACAAAACTGTAAGAAATGATGATCCTATTAATGTGAGATTGAGGACTCTTATTATAATAACGACATTATGATTAAACTGTTCAGGCTGTGAATAATCTTTTATATGACTGAGATATTTACATTGATCAATCATAGATTACTTCAATTACTTATTTTTGAGTAAAGTAAGTATCTAACCAGAAACTTTCATTACCATTATTTAACTGATGTTTCCTCAATTTAGTATAGTCAATTACATTGATCTATAATGTATACTAAGACTAATAGATAAGCTCTGAGCAATATTTAGAAAAAAAAATGAAAGTTTTAAGGTATTATCAGTCAATTAACAGATAATTTGTAAAATTCAAAAGTATTCTGTTAAGCATGTAAATAGACTTGTATAATTATAAGCAAAGATGAACAGTAGCTAGCAGCGAAATCCATGACGCGTGCTTGAAGCGAACGGCACTAGGTTCGAGTCCCAGAACATCATGTCTGAGATCCAGGTACACCCAGCTGACGAGTCCCGGATAAAACGAAACACACGTCAAACTGAATTCCACTACTAGCCACTATCCATCTTTGCTTATAACGCTTGTGACGCACGGTATGCACTTATTTCAACAACAGACTTATCGATTGCAATCATAAACATCAATGGGAACATTCAAGTAAAACAATACCAAATGAATTTAAACTTCTATAATCATTTTAAAATTCTTCTTACCAATTTCGTTGATTTAAATATTGAAGGGGTTTTTTCTCTCTTTTTGAATGAAACTTTATTCTAATTTTTAATGAATGAGAATATGTTTCTTACTCAATGATTTCATAGTAAACTTAACATCCCTTACAAAATTATTCGTAACAAGTTGATTATATGGTGATTTGAAATGGTATTATGAGATAATTAGTATAAGGATGATGATCTAACACTCTCCATTACTGTACAAAATGATCGTTAGATCAATAATAAAGTGATTTTTTAATGAAGATAATGAATCGATCTAAATTAAATAAAACCATTCTAGATGAAGAAATACTAATTGTCTAACATAAGTCAATTTTTTATCTCAAAACCTCAATGATGAACGTGGAATAGGTACGATGTACATTTGGCTCATCAGTTGCAAGTAATTTTAGTACAGCTATCTCATAATATGATGAATGATAAAGGCTAAGGTTATCTGGAATGTTCAACCAGCGTATCTTATCTAGAGGTTTCAGTCATTTTTTCGTTGATCTAATGAACAAGTACTGCATAATAGGGTGGAATTTTCATTGAAAATATTGTTTAAAACATCTGAAGTGATCGGCATTTATCTAATGTAGACACTTCCAGTATAGCACACCTCAACATCTTAGCTGTAAAACACAAATATGGTGAAATTTTTGTGTTTAAAATGAAATCTCTAACGAAAATTACTCTTTAATATCCTATGCTTACCCTTTAAATGAATGGAAAAATAGGCAAAAGTGCATGGTAAAACCCATTTGTTTAACATTGACAATATAGTGGATAATGTTAATCAAAAAAAAACTTTAAGCTGTGTACGATCTTCCATCGAAGTCATTCAAGGAAATTATTCAATTTTTTATTTTCTTCATGATGAGAAATTTAGTTTTCCAAATTATTGTTATGATTTAACTCACTAAAAAGAAAAAAAAGTTAGTTACTATAGTGAGATTTGTAGGGTTTGTAGAATTCTCACGATTTCAACTATGAACTGATTTTAACTGAACTACTGTTAAAACGCAAAAAATACTGAAGGACTCTTTCACCATGATACAAGACTCCTCAGAAGTCTGTTAGTTAACCATTGCAGATTATGAAAAATGGCTGCGTAATATCGTGATTTGATTGAATTTAAACATGTACACCATTGGATTCGTTCTAGACGTAAAATATTTGGGTAAAAAACCCAAGGTCATAGGTCCGGTCCTATGTAGTTAGATTGTGGATGCACACTGTTGAGAAGTTTCATACTAGAACAAAATAGTTATCAAATGCTTCTTTATTTTCTAGCTAAGATCAGTTTACGATCAAAAAATATATAAATAAATAAATAGGGATGAAATTATTATAGTTAAAGTTGGTAAACATTTGAATTTCGTGAAACTCAAAGGTTCTAACCCCAAATTTTATGATAAAGCTACAGTAAATAAGTAAACAATTAATCATGGGTGTATTTTTGAAATTTTCCAGTTTTTCCTGTGAATTATACTGTCCAAATTCATATCAGAAAATGAAGAATATTGAAAAGTATTCTGAAAACTGTAGAGAACTACCTACAAGTTCATCTTATATAAACTTGATTGAATCATCTACCAATACAACCTTACCATCGTCATTACTTACTTCATCATCATCACCATTATCATCGTCATCATCTCAACAGTTACCTAGTACATCACAATCAATATTCAATTTAGATTATACTTCAACAGCTTATAAAGAATGGTTACAAATTATGAAACATTTACATCATATTGATCATTTAAAACAAATTAATGATAATAAAAATAATATTCAAATGGACTTACAATCTTCATGTTCACCATTTACATCTTTCAATAAAACTATCAATGATTTAACAAGAAGTAAAAACATTGAACTATTGAACAATAAATATGACCCATTGGATTCAAATAATTTAATATCACAATATTATTACTATTATTATTACAATTATTATTATGGTTTGCAAAAATCGCATAAATTTCTCCAGTCACGACAACATCAACCTGATGATCATAATTATAACACTAATGATGAAGTATATAAGTCTGATGGAACTACTGAGACAACATTATGTGTAGATAAACAAGACAATTCATTGAAACATTTAACGCCACCATGTTGTTCAACTTCACCACCAATTTTAACAGAATCTATTGTTAAAAATTCACATTTATTTTCTTCTTCAAAATATCCACCAATTTTATTTGAAGGTAAGTTGAAATATTTTCTTATTATTCAGTCGATTGATTATGTGAGATTCGTTATATGGGAAATTAAGCAATCAAACAAACATGACATTGGTTAATATGTACTGATCAGTAAAGGTTAATATGTTCAGTGATGACTAAGAAATAGGAACATCAGTTTCTGTAAGATTGTAAGTTTATCTAGTTGACGAGTGTCAACTAGCAAGAAAGTTCGGTCAGGTAGGGTTACCTACCAACTACCTCGGATCATATGACATCTGAATATCGTACATTGTGTCAAGATACTTATACTAATGGCCAAGTTGTTACTTGATTGACAAATGTTGGTCAGGACTAAAGGACTAGATAAACATGACACCCGTCAATAATCATATATCAATCAACGTCCAATCTAAAGGCGCTGATGATTTTCCGAGTTTCGTACTCATCAACATAACTCATCTATCTCTAAACTAAGTATGCTTTGAATGACCGTTTCTTTATATCATCAGTTAATTAAATTTAGAAATTCGGATTGTGGTACTTAGTCAGTCGTTTCAAAGTTCTGAAAGTCTTGGGTTTGATTCTTGACATATTTGCGGGTAAAAACTCCTGGGAAATTGTTATAAACTTGATTATCACAACTATCTAGTTTTTTTCAGTTTTTTCGATATCTAGTTAACCAACATTGACTTTTGACAAAAGTTGTCATAAGGTATAATCTGGTGTTATGTAAAGTATGATCAACAAATGTCCCCCCCCCCCAATTTATCAACTAAGAAACTGTATTTCATTAAAACTGATGTTATCTTTTGCAAGATTGAGAATTTGCTAGAAAATTAGACTTCTAACGTCTATGGAGAATAAATATTAGTAAAACTGATAATCTTATAGAATATATCAAATATTTAGTGTGGTATAGAATTCTATTCATAAGAAATCAGTAGAGGGATAAAGTCTGGGAATTAACAATCATTTATTTTGTTGTTTGTAACATGATCAACCTCATGGTACTCATAAATTCATTCTATACGATAATAATTAGGAATGTATTCTATTTTTTTCATTATTAAATAAATCTGCATCGAAAGTTTCGCATTACAGACTGACTTTCGTCAAAGAACCACTGTAAACCAAGATGGTTTGGGTACAACAATACCCCACTAGGAATATAAGGCAGGTCTCACAGCCCTACGGCAACTCCCTGACCCTTATACAATTGAGCTTGTAAATGAGAGTTGCTGAGAGGTCTCATACTCAGAGACAATAGCTGTCTAGTACTTCCTAGTTTTCAATGGTTATCTAAGGTTAGCTTGCGACCTAACCTATGGGAGAGATATATCAAGTGAGAAAATAATTATTACTTAGTTACCTTTCACTAAATAACACTGTATTGTCTCAGTTTGAAAAAAACTCAGCAGTATGTGTTCACGACCACCGCGAATTGGATAGAACCCAATACCTTCAAATTACCTAGAACGCCTAATACAATCTTGTCAAAAAGTTGAAATTTGACAGTCTAAGAATACATAAGATCATCCACTATCTTTGCAATCAATCACTAAAGTCAAACAATATAATTTTTCGCTTCAAAAACTTTTCATTTTTAAATATAGTTCACATCGATTATGAATAAAGTGCTAGTTGAAGGTATTCAACAGGAAAACATGAACCTAAGTTTCGTAATATTTAACACTCGCGAGAAAGATATATTTTTAATCTTGAAGGAATTGATCTTTCTTGGCGGATTCAAGCTCTTATCACTCAACTGTACAGTCTGACCTCCTGAGGGAATGAGAGGTATTTACAGTTGATTGATCACTGAATACTGACCAATGTCAAGTACTATTTTGTTGCTGATCGAATTCTATCGACTCTGTCGCAATATAGTTACCAAACACTACTCAGTATTTAATTAATGATAAATACTGATAATGCATTTATAATAAAAGCTATTTGTAAATGGATTTAATAAAATTCTATGACTTCAAAGTATTCTATTAATTTGTATTCAAATTACACCATTTTAATTTGACAGAACGAGTAATTGTATAGTTAGAACTTAAGAGATGGTTTTTTGTTTGCATATTAAATTGACCCAACTGTATGGAAACTGCATGTAATCACACACATTACCCATAACATAAAACATAGAATAATTCCGAAAGATAATTACACAACCATCTAGTGATGATACATTGTGAAAATGTTTGGGTATTTATAAAATAAATGTAAAGTATATACTTGAGAGTGCCCTGGTACGGTCAAGAGTGGGGAGAGTCAGCTCTCCCTCTCGAAATGCTCTCACATTGTCACGTGTATACGGTCATTGCCAAGGAAAACCTACTCACTGCCTTCTCGCGGCATTACTGTTGGTTGTGAAATCAAGAGGACGACAAACATATATCCAGCACTTTAACCGGGTTGGTGAACACGGAGGGTCCACTTAGGGGAGTTGGTAAACCCTCATTCCAAACCGATCGTGTACATGGGATCCAGGATCCTGAGGAACAAATAGAGTATGAACCAATTATTAGTCACCGGTTACTATGAGACTGCATCTGCTGAAGTTGTTCCACTACCTTGTGCATCAGACGCCAGATCGAAGGCTCCGAGTGTGGCCTCCCAAGAAGACCACCTAACTCGGTTTGGGTACACGAACAGTATCTCAGCCCTCATACAAATCGGATGATTTATGTAGTGCATATCTATTTGGTGCCTCGTTGTACCGATGTTTATTTGTTTGAATAAAAATAAATAAATAAACAGTTAGTAACAATGAAAATTTAGTGGCATTTGATTTAATTTTTACAGCTGATCTAAAAAATCTCAAAACAATGATTCAAAAACTATTTAGTAACTGATTTGACTAGAATTATTTCGGTGAAATGTTGTTAGTTACTTACGCCTGTTACTCCCAGTGGATCAGAGGCCACCGACCAGCGTTCTCCAACCCACTCTGTCCTTGGCCTTCCCTTCCAGTTCCGTTCAAATTTTGTTCATTTTTCTCATGTCTGTCTCCATTTCTCGGCGCAATGTGTTCTTTGGTCTTCCTCTTTTCCTTTTGCATCTTCTAAATCTTCTCCGTCAAGTATGATTCGATTGTTGCATGCTATGTTGTATCGAAGAATCTTGTTTTTCCCTTTGTGTATGTTGAGATCTACTGCTGCTGAGGCTGCTACACTGGTCGTCTTCTCCTGCATTTGTTGTTGCCTGTGCGATAGAAGAGCCAGATCATCTGCAAAGTCTGGATAGTCCATGAAATATTGCATTTCTCAAAAATTCTCATTTACACTGATACTTAAAAACCTTATTTTGAAAAAAATTCTACTTAAGAAAAAAAGGGTTGAAATGTAGTAAGATAGATTTCATGAGAACAATGGAAAATCTTGAAGTTATTATATTTAAATAATCTGTAGTAATGACTAATATTGTCATTCAAATAATTAACTCGTATAAGGCATAGCAATGGAATCCAAGTATTTATTATTATTATTGGCTTTATTCAATATTATATTTTTGGTACAATATAGAATTCTCAGCACGAAGTATTTCAACAAGTTTCCTTTTCTTATTTCTTGATCGACCCTCGCAATAAATAATAAGTGGTCGCCAGTTAGATGTTAGCAGTTCAGGAATCGACATCTGAATAATGTATATTCTTTTCGATGAATATAGTCAGCAACCACAATGTCTCTGATTGAACTCTTTTGTAACTTGTGCAGCGAAATATCGCAAAATTTTCACGAACGCACCTAAATAGATTATGAGACTAATAAGCATAATTGATGTATTAAGACATACAAGAAAACAAATAACTTGTTGAAATAACCGGATGGCAGGAACAGGTAGTCCAGATATTCAAGCAGGCGGCCTTGTGGAACTCACTAGTTGAATGTACTTGCTACACAATAGAACTTGAATTTAGTACTTTTTGCATCAAATGTCAGCATATTATTAACTGAGCTATCTCACTGACATGATAAAAATAATGTTGACATTCAATCTTTTATATACAACTATATTAAATCATAACTTTTTGTCCCCTTCATAATTTTTTTTCTTTAAAAGATATTCATCATGGTTCATTCTCATCTGAAAACTAAGAAGCATAGGACAGCTGTCTCGTCCTTAATATAGGACTCCTTAGCAATACTCATACAACGACCCTAATGGGGATCGAAACCAGTATATGTAAACATCCATCTTCAAACATTTAGGACGGAATCCACTTTTTACTTATATAATAATTATCTCAGTGGGTAAAATCATGAGTCAGTTGAAGCTAGATTACCATGGAAAACCTGGAAGCATTGGGCAGCCGTTTCGTCCTAATGTGGGACTCCTCAGCAGTGCGCATCCATGACCTCGCCCCCTGCGAGATTCAAACCCAGGAGTCCCACAATAGGACGAAACGGCCATCCAGTGCTTCCAGGTTTTCCAGGGTGGTCTAGCCTCAACTGACTCATGATCTTAACCATTGAAATTATTATAATATCCACAAAACCCATCTGATATTAATAATTATTTGTTAAGTTATTTTTCATTTATCATATATTTAAGCTTAATTCTTCTTTTGTTTCAAATAGGTCAAGGACGAGTAAATCAGTTAGGCGGTATGTTTATTAATGGTAGACCATTACCATATGAGACGCGTTTGAAAATTGTTGAATTATCTAATAATGGTATACGTCCATGTGATATATCACGTCAATTAAAAGTATCACATGGCTGTGTCAGTAAGATTTTACAACGTTATAGTGAAACAGGTAAGTGAAAAATATGTTTTAAATAATAAAAAATATGTGGAGATTGTTTACATAATAGATTGATTTTAACTAAGATGCTTGGAAGTTCTCTGTTTTTTATCCCTAGTGTTCAGAAGACTTGTAATAAGATTAAACAACTGTTCAGTACTTTCTCGTTTTACGTGTTTGTAGAGCTGAAGTCATTAGGAAATGTTAAGCATTTTCTAAATGAACAACTTTCATAAGTCTATCATCCTAAAAATATATATTTGCTTATTCTATGTTATGATAATTTATCGAAATAACCACAGTAATGTAAGATAACGCAATTCGTTTTCAGTATCGATTAGATTCACATTTTCACTTATCCCTTAAATAGTGAATAGGAGAGTAATGTTAGGTACTGATTTCGTCCTATTCGGAACTAGTCCGTTGAATGTACTTAATAATTCCTTATGTTAATGTTTTCTGCTTCGGTTTGGGCTCTCAATCACTATTCCAGCTCCCACACAAATCAAATAATTTGTGTGGTGCACATGTATTTGATGCCTCCTTGTACTAATGTTTGTGTTTAAATAAATAAATGAAGTACCCATTTAAATTCAGTAATGATCTGTTCTAAGTAACCAGATAATATTAATATAATAATGAAGTAACAATATGTCAAATTCGATAAAAGGATGGTTAACACTAAATCTAGATTGTACTTTTTTTGAGTTACATCTCATACTGTTGAATTGGACAATCAACAAAAAAAAGATTAACACCAATCTATTCAAAAATCCGTAGACAAGTTGAACGGATCATTTTTTTATTGATTTCAAACAGTCAGCGCTTATGAAGTTAATGAAAAATCCTTAAAATAAATTTATACGAAAGATAACAATCCATATAATTCATCATAGCAAAGAAGTCATTCTTAATAGATTTCACGATATCTTTACTGTAATATAAGGCCCCACTGTATCATTTAAGTAGTTTATTAGTATGTGAATATTCCAGTCGTATAGGAACTCAGTTATTGTTTACCGAGCCCGGTGATAACATGTTTACTTATAACATGAAGTGATATTTGTCCAAATCTTATAGGGGATCATGAATTTACTCAAGATATTCAATGTTTGACAAATGTCAAAATTCATTTCCTCATCAGTATATCACGAAATTCGTTTATTTCTTAAGAATTACATCTTTTAAATTACTGTATTCAGTAAAATTGTCATCGGAAAGAAGAAGAATAATACGCAAAGATGTACAAAATCATTCTGGAAAGAAAGTATCTAGAATTAAAATACAATACTCTGTGATGTATAAAATAACTGTTGTCATACTGTACACGATTTAAATCTTGTGGCATAAAACAAAAAAGATAATGATTATTTGATTCTTCATATTCAGTTTGACGTACTCATTTAAAGAACAAGATTGAAGTTCATTCCATTATGTGGATTAATGTCGACAAAGACACCATTAGACAAATATTTTGTTCTTGTTTAGGATTCTATATAAACTTTTGGAGAAAAATAGTAAAATATCACGATTTTATGTTTAGTACGATATCATCATCATCATCATCATCATCATCATCATCATCATCATCATCATCATCATCATCATCATCATCATCATCATCATCATCATCATCATCATCATCATCATCATCATCATCATCATCATCATCATCATCATCATCATCATCATCATCATCATCATCATCATCATCATCATCATCATCATCATCATCTCATCATCATCATCATCATCATCATCATCATCATCATCATCATCATCATCATCATCATCATCATCATCATCATCATCATCATCATCATCATCATCATCATCATCATCATCATCATCATCATCATCATCATCATCATCATCATCATCATCTCATCATCATCATCATCATCATCATCATCATCATCATCATCATCATCATCATCATCATCATCATCATCATCATCAGCATCATCATCATCATCATCATCATCATCATCATCATCATCATCATCATCATCATCATCATCATCATCATCAGCATCATCATCATCATCATCATCATCATCATCATCATCATCATCATCATCATCATCATCATCATCATCATCATCATCATCATCATCATCATCATCATCATCATCATCATCATCATCATCATCATCATCATCATCATCATCATCATCATCATCATCATCATCATCATCATCATCATCATCATCATCATCATCATCATCATCATCATCATCATCATCATCATCATCATCATCATCATCATCATCATCATCATCATCATCATCATCATCATCACCATCATCATCCCAAACATTATAATCATCATCATCATCATCATCATCATCATCATCATCATCATCATCATCATCATCATCATCATCATCATCATCATCATCATCATCATCATCATCATCACCATCATCATCATCATCATCATCAACATCCTCATCAACATCATCATCATCATCATCATCATCATCATCATCATCATCATCAGCAGCAGCAGCAGCAGCAGCAGCATCAATAACGTTTTCATCATACTTTTAATTCATGTCATCTTGTTATATTTTGATAAATTCTCGTCGGGCAAAGCTGCAATCAGATTAGGAAATTACTGTTTACGTTCAATTCGATTCGTAGTATACTGTGTTATATTATTATGACATTTTTTCATTTTGCAAAGATGCGTATAGTCATCAGTGAGCAATTGTTTAGTCTTAATTTAAGTCTAATCATCAATCCACAACCATTATCCTGTTAATGAGATCAAACTTATTACCTTCAGGTCTCTTTTAAATACACTGTGATTTATATTTCTAAATATAATCACTATGGGAATATATAACCTGACATTCATTCAGTCTCATTGTTCACATCTGTCTTATTCTCAATACGGTTGAATTCCACCAATTATTTTAAGAAAACTAAGACTAATCTAGAATAAATCATAATAAGAATAGTAGTTAAGACGATTTAATAATAACTCTTTGTCCAGTGTGATTTCTTAGCTTTTAGCCTAATAATTCTATGATGATTTACTCTTCGCCTCTTAATTATCTCTAAAATTTAAAGCTGAAATTAATATCTTGTAGAATATTCATTTAGTTCATCTGTACTTTATTATTTAAAAAGTTTCATTTAAATTCACTTGGTATTGTTTACTTGAATGTTCCCATTGAGGTTCACGACTGCAATTGATCAGTCTCTTGTTAGTACAAGTGTATACTGTGCGTACTGCCTCGATATTGCCTTAATTCACAAGCATTATAAGCAAAGATGGATAATGACTAGCAGTGGAATCCAGTTTGATGTACGTTTTGTCCTAGAGTCTCAAAATGAACATCATTTCTGAAATGCAGGTAAACCCAGCTGACGAGTCCTAAATAGGACGAAACGCACGTCATACTGGATTCCACTACTAGCTACTATTCATTTTTGCTTATAAGGTTTCATTCAGTTTACTAATAAATCTTATATTTGAACTTCTATAACTCATTAAGGTAGAGTTATAAATTAGTTTAGGTAAAGAAAACTTAAGGTTTCTTTTTCTATTATTCTTTTCACTATCTTCTAATCATATCATCAATTGGTTTTTATTAACATCATGAAATTAGGAATAATGAATTAACACAAGTCATGTTTTAAATAAATGCGTCCTTTTTTTGTTTTTCTAAACAAGATTCACTTGATTTCATTTGCACAGCATCAATGAATGAAACATTTAAATTACATCATTTGAATATATGTATAATTTTATAACTCATACAGTCAGTTAGATTATTTCCATGGCTAATAATGTGAAATTTACAATTGCGTAACATAGATTATGATTATTATTATTATTTGTCATAATTAAACGGATACATGAAACATAAAATTGTATTACTTTTTTCTTGATTGATGATAGTTCTTATTCAGATAAACTAAAGTTAATCAACCTGATTCTTAACTCAATCAACGATACAATCATCTGTACACATTTTTACAAGTCTATAAATGTGTACATTTATGTGCATAGACATATGTGTGTGTGCGTGTGCTTGTGTGTGTGGCTACGTACTAATAAGCCAAAATGTGGTAATTACATCAAATACCTATGAATTCGAAAATTAAATGAGTCCGATTTATCATTTACGATACAGTTTCAGTTTAATAGATAGAATCAAATTAACATAAACGACTTGATAAACAAGCTATTGGTCACTCATTATTCAGTGATCAATTCATGCAAATAACTTGGTCCTACAAAAGGTTAACCTTGGTCCTAGTATCCAAACGGTAATGTCTTGAACTGGGAAACTATATGATGTGGGTTAAAATTCTACAAGAGTTATCAGTTTTCTTAAGATTGCAGATTTTTCTTGTTGTCGAACATTAGTATGCATGAAATCTAACTTTAATAAGGTCCCTGCCGATTATCTCCAAATATTTAACGTTCAAACATAATTCAAATAATGTCAAATCATCTAGACTATTGGTCAGACTACAATTTAATCGACAGAATCCGATGAGTACTAATAACTAGACAAACAAGGCATTGGTAACTAGTTAGTGATTGATCCATGCCGGTCAAATACTTTATTAATATCAGATGGGATTTTATGGGTATGAGTTTTGTTCCCATAATCTGGGCATGATAATTTTATTGACATGTTTTCACTTTTGTTCTGGATCACATCATCAGTGTCTACTTAATGTAATTATGTTTAAAACTATATTTTTTAATACAATGGCGTGTAATGATCTCATTACACTAAAATCAAATAGAATACAATCACTTCGTCTTTCCAGGGTTACTAATAGAATGAGAGATAAGCTCTTAAGTGATTCATGAAGTAATAAGGTCTGTGAAAACTAAAAAAATGACATAAATCTATAATGTTCATCAATTTGCTATGTTGATACGTAAAATCAAACATATACTGTCTTTTGTGTATCTCAGTATTCAATTTGCTTTTTGTATAATTCTTAATAAAGTTTATTTGTGGCAATAACTCATGAACATGATTCTAGTAAACTATTCAGATTGGATAGTATGATGTGAAAATTTCGTGAAAGGATAGAAGAGTTGAATAATCTTATTTCTAAAGACTTCTAGAAATATTTTGGATGAGAAGACATTGATGGATCAAGTGAATTGTTATAAATGAGGGTGTATTTTGTGGACGATATTATTGTCATGAAACATATTTTGATGTAGTTTTTTTCTCTGAGCTTGATGTTTTGGTCGTGAAACGATGAAAGCTCCACGACCAAAACATCCATCTTAGAGAACAAAACTCCATCAAAATCATCCACCTGAGCTACAAATCTCATGCAATATATTCTTTAATATAAGATTTTTATGACCGCATTTTATGTATTTACCAGAGAGACTATAAAGAAGGTCAAAAAATGGTTATTGAAATTTAGAGAGCACAACAAATATCTTCACTAATCATCGAAATCAAACTTCGAACCCTCAAATCACATGACAAGCATAACATATTTAAACAATTGGATCGGAAGTTAATCAATGTTAATTTCTTTCACTTTTGACTTGATTGTCTTCAGTTAGAATTTTAGGAAATATATTTCAAAGATGATTACTTGTGAATATTTGAGTAATTACAACAACAAAAAAACCCGACAAAAATGAAGTATCATTGTAAATGGTCACTTTTATTTCAATATAAACGAACTAATATCAGGAGTTTTTGGGATTTTATAGTAATTTTGATAGTTGAGATTATGAGTCAATTGGAGCTAC